TAGCATTTCAGAGCGACTTGGCTTATAGTAGTTAACGACTCTTACGACAACCCTTTGACTGCTAATTTCCGTTTGCGCTCAAAATTAAAGCCCGATTACACATGCTTTGATATCTTTATCGCACGGTATGACACAGAAAAGAGGCAATATGTTTCGATTACTCAGTACGTATTTGTTTACGCCTTCCAATTCTCGGTGTGGAAAATTAAAATACCTTCAAACAGGTTTAATACTGCTTTTTATGACATAACAAAAGACCTAAAATTCCCAAAAAGTAAGCTTTAAAGAGGAACTCGCTCTTTTTTCCTAGGAAACAATAAAAATTTTCATATTTGTCTTGACCTGGTTTTCAGTGACGCAAAATCAAATATCTGAAGTTCTCCTTGCTGATATTAATATCCTCATATAGCACAAGGCCCACAAACAAGAGGCTTAGGAGATAACTTTGTTATCGGGAAACGTCCGATTCCACCTCAATCTGGCTTGTCTTCCGCTTATAAAACACATCAGAAACAGATTATTGTTTAGTAAAGGGCATGTTGCTCGTCGAATCAATTCAATTCAATAGTGTGCTGTACTGCCCACCCGAGTTTCGATCATAATATTTTACGAGTTATGTCAGCTAAACATATCTGCCAGTTCTCAACTTATGTTTGCTGGCACAATCACGTAGACAGTCTTTACAGATGTCTAAATTTATACCCTTAATGTTGCGCGAGGGGGCCGCCTGGAACCGTCTTTGCTACCACCAGGGCCTACTGTTTTGACATGCTTACTACTTAACTCTGCAAAGCATCACGCATTTTCCATCTGATTCGATTTCTCTTTCTCTTGATTTGCAATGCCACATGGCTGCATGATTCCTCTTTCTTGCGTTGGATTCAGTCAGCACGAGGCTATTCAGTAGGCTTTCTTTAGGGTTCCGGGACAGTCGAAGTGGATAATAAGCTGTGTGAAGGCTTGTGTTCTGGCCAACGCTTATTTATAATCTGGTCTGCACAGGTTTGAAATGACTCTCAACGTCTTGACTGTCTGTTATCGACTGCATTGGAGCTTTCATCTCCACGATGAAGGCATTCCATTTGTTAGTATTTTTATGCCATTCAGCTCTAGGGTAGTTCTCACGCCACCTCATTCGTTATGCTGGACTTTTTCGTTGAGGATTGTTCTGCATTTTTTCCATCGCTTTCGGCGTTTGATTTTTTTCACGACGGCCTTCCCATTCTTTATGTTCAGGTCGATGGTGATGCACCAACACGACCTCTCGCGCCAGTTGAAAATTCGCCTGTATCCATAGGCAAGGTGAGTTATTATTATTAAAGTATGCACTAGTATTGCGTTGCTGTTAATTTTTTTATCGTTAACTTTTGCATAGCCACTAGAATTAGCTAACCGGACCCTCACGATAAGGTATTTTGTTGCATATGTTCACCGCTGCCCAAATCTCTTATTCTTCTTCTTTTTCGTTTTCTTCTCCTTATCCGAGTTCTCCATCGGGTGCTTCATACCTCCACATCCTACTTCTCCCTCTTGTCCGAAGGCCGGCAAACCTAACTTTTTACGTCCGATAACTGAACCCCGTATACCTAGTGACAATGACGTCTCAAAAGCCTGCTTCATTAAATTACAATTAACGCAAACTTATTGTAATCGATGTTACCTGAGATAGTACAGTGAAATCTTGATTTTGTACCGAGACACCTGGGGAATCACAACTTTTAACTACTTCACTGTCTCTGCATCGGGATTAGGCTTTACTGATTGGATTGTTCTCATATACACCAGTGCTGTAACTCACAATTATGTAACAC